CAGCCAAAAATTAAATAAATGAATAAATAAATAAATTTATTAAAAATAATTTAAAAAAAGACTCTGCACTCCCAATGCAGGGGGCCCAGTTTCAATCCCTGGTCAGGGAACTAGATCCCATAAGCGTGCTGCAACTAGGAGTTCACATGCCACAACTAAGGAGCCTGCAAGCAACGACTAAGGAGCCCGCAAGCCACAACTAAGGAGCCCGCCTGCTGCAACTAAGACCCAGAGCCACCAAATAAAAATAAATAAATAAACATTAAAAAAAAAAGATGTACAACTCAGTGGCATTTAGTACACTCACGTGTTGTACAGACATCCCACCTTTAGAGTTTTAAAATGTTTTCATCACCCTCAAAGGAAACTCTGTCACTCTTTCGAGCAGTCACTCTATTCCTCCTCTCCCTAACCCCTAGCAACCACCATCTGCTTTCTGTGTCTACGTACTTACCTATTCTGGATATTTCATATAAATAGAATCATACCACATGTGAACATTTGTGTCTGGCTTCTTTCACTGACCCTGTTTTCGAGGTTCATCCACGTTGTGCATGTCTCAGTACTTCATTCCTTTTGTGGCTGAATAATATTCCATGCTCTGGCTCTGTCACATTTTGTTTATCTGCTCATCGGTTGATGGACACTTGGGTTGTCTCTACCTTTTGACTCTTGTGAATAGTGCTGCTATGAACGTGGTGTACGTGTACTTATTCTAGTCCCTGCTTTCAATTCCTTTGGGCATATACCTAGGAGCAGAATTGCTGGATTATAGGGTAACAATGTTTGACTTTTTTTTTTTTTTTTTTTTTGCGGTACGCGGGCCTCTCACTGTTGTGGCCCCTCCCATTGTGGAGCACAGGCTCCAGACGCACAGGCTCAGCGGCCATGGCTCACGGGCCCAGCCGCTCTGCGGCATGTGGGATCTTCCCGGACCGGGACACGAACCCGTGTCCCCTGCCTCGGCAGGCGGACTCTCAACCACTGCGCCACCAGGGAAGCCCAATGTTTGACTTTTTGGGAAGCCAACAGATTGTTTTCCACAGTGGCTGCACCATTTTACATTCCCACCAGCAATGCACAAGGGTTCCAATTTCTCCACATTCATGCCAACACTTGGACTATTCATTTTAATAATACATTTTAACCCAGCATATCCAAAAATATTGTCATGCCAGCATGGGCTCAGTCCGGACTAACGTACGTACGTTTTACCACCTACTCCCCCCACCTCCATCCTCTTCTCATAGTGCATCAGCTTTCTTCTTCCTCTTCCCAGTCAGCTGAGGAAATGCCTCTACATACTTTCCTCCTTTGAAAGACTGCGTCTGCTCTCCTATTTTTCCTGAGCCTAAAATAATTAATAGAGGTCAGGGAAAGATAAGCTGGCTTACCAGTAAGGAGACACAGATGGCACATCTCCTACTAGCTGGGAAGTGGTATCTCACCGTGGTTTTGTTTTGCATGTCTCTAATCACTAACGATGTTGACTGATCTCCTTTATAAAAACAAAAATTTCCTCTTGATTTTGACTCCTATTACTCTCCCAGCCTCATTCACTCCTATCCAGCCACATTGCCCTCCTCCTGTTCCTTGAAGTTGCGGCCCATACCTGACTCAGGACCTCTGCATGTGCTGTTCGCTCTGCCTGGAAGGCTCTCCCTCCAGATACCCACATGGCTCCTTCCCTCACCTCCTCCTCATGTTTATTCAAATGTCATCCTCTCATGGGACCTCCCCTGCACACCCTCCTGGGCACTTCCTGCCCACATTTCTTGCTGCCTTATTTTTCTTCTTAGTTGGTAACACTACCTAACATAACTGTCTATGTTGCGGCTTAACCTAGTCATCTAGTTATTTGTCTGGTTGTCTAGTTATTTGTATCTCCTCAACAGAATGTGAACTCCACCAGGGCAGGGCTTTGGATCTGTCTTGGTCACAGCTAGATCCCCACAGCGTGGCACAAAATAGCTTCTCAATAAGCGGTGTTGCCTGTGGGGCTCAGCGCCCTGTCAAAAGCTCACTGTTTCTGCTCCATCCACACTGTCCTGGGAGATCCTATCCACTCCCACGATTTCCCTAGCCACCCCTTTGCTGGCCTCTCCCCCCATCTCTCTCCAATCCTGCCCTGTCTACTGCTCCCACCTGCTCCCTGGACAGTTCCCCTGCAAATCCTACAAGCCCCCACACACTCAGCTACTCCCAGACTGACATCAGACTGACAGCAGCGGCATCTTGCTCTTCTGTACTCCCATCTCGAGGCTCCCCTGCCCACCACCCAGGCACAGCCCTGGATATCACTCTCACCTCTTTACCTCAGTATGCCCCTCCCATGTCCCAACAGCCACCAAAATATCCCTGGAATCCATCTACTTTTTCCCAGCCCACATCCTCCTCCATAGGCAGCCCCCATTCTCTCTTACCTGGACCCCAAGCCCCAGCCTCCTTCCGAGGGCCTGACTTCCCCAAGACATCCAAGAGACTCTTTAATCCTCACATTCGAGCACAGTCCTCCTTGCTTAAGACTTGGGTGCAGGTGTCTGTGTGCTCCCCAACCCCCTAACTGGGGACACTGCTCCATCAGCAGAAAAAATCCAGGGACTTCCCTGGCGGTCCAGTGGTTAGGACTCCACGCTTCCACTGCAGGGGGCCCGGGTTCAATCCCTGGTCGAGGAACTAAGATCCCGCAAGTCGCATGGTACAGCCAAAAAAAATTAAAAACAAAAACTGTATACACACACACACACAAAAAGCAGAAAAAGTCCAAGCCAAGCCCAAGGCCCACAGAGGGAAGGGGGCCCCTTGGGCTGTGGAGCGGCTCCATGAGTGACTGGATCCCTTCTCTTGAGCCTGTACTGTCCCCATGGACCTTGTAAAAACACAAGGCATTTCTCTGATGCCTGCTGTGCACCAGGCTCTGTTCTAGGCACCAAGGAGACAGTGGTGAGTCTTGTGGGCAGGGCCCCGCCCTCCCAGTGTCTGCCACCCTCTGGTTAGGGCTAAGCTTGACCTTTGGGAAAGAGACAGGAACCGGCCTGGCATTCACAGCTGGCCTTGTGGTTGCTAGGGCCTGGCCTGGCGATCACAGCATTTCACAGAACGCCCGCATTGGACAAGGCCACCCTGTGACCGTGGCTGAACAAGACAAAACAAGCCCACTCCATCATGGTGTCTGAACACAGACAAAACATGAACATTGTCCAACTCACAACAGCAACCAGACATTTCCTGGCTAATCTAAATGACTTCTGTGTCTTTGCCAATCGCTGCTTTAATCTTACTTCATTCCTTAGACGTCGTGATCCAAATTATTGTTTCTCTGTTAGGGTGTTACCTCTCCCCCTTGCTTCCTGACAGCATCCAGGATCTACACCCTCCTGGGTCCTCCTTTTCCCAGCAGGCAGGGAAAATGTATATTTGCATCAACCTGGCTGGGCCAAAGCCCTCAGCAGAGCCCTGGGCTAGGGAGCAGGTAATGGGACCTCGACCCAATGGACAAAACAACACTTTGCTTGAATTTAGTGAAAAGGAACCCACTGAGTACGTAAGTCCTGGAGCTCAAATTCAAAGTACCGGGACGACAGACCAGAGGACTGTATTATAAACATTAAACCCGCCAAGAGACCAGATGTTAATTGTTGCAGACACTAGAAAGAAGTGATAGTCGGCCTATCCTGTGCAGAAGAGTGTCAGATAGCAGACAAGGAGGAAAACCTGGGGAAATGGGGATAATGGACGTCAGCGGCCTCTGACGTCAAATCCTCCACGCTGAAGTGGTTGCCACGTTAAAACCTTTGATATGTGTTTTCTAAAGAGATTGACATGAGCAAATAGCCGTGAGCTGAAGTGATCCAGGAGGGCCTCCCACACGAGAAGAGGCTAAGCCAGGGGTGCTGGCGGCATCCGAGGGTCTGGTCTCTAGGTGCAGGGAGGAGAGGGAGGGAAACACCTCAGCTCTGAGCAAAGACCAGAAAGTCGCAGTCGGCTAAGTGGGGTGCTGGGAGCCCGGAGCTAAAAGCCCAGAGAAATGAGTAGAAGGTGTGTCAACCTCAAACAGCTTGAGGACAGAAAGAATAGTCAGGACCTGGGACAACTGCAGAGGGCGGGAAAACCAGTGATGGGGTGTGTGGCAGAGATGGGACAGTGGCCAGGGTTGGGCAGAGAGACGGAAGTGGGTTCCCAGACATGAAGGAGCGGAGAGCCATGGCCTCGACAACTGATAGAGAATGAGGAGAGCGGGTTGTGGCAGCAAACTGTCAAATGCCGTGGTTAATTCTCCAGCTCTTCCCGTTTCTCTGCACCAGCCTCAGGGCCTTTGCACCTGCTGTTTCTTCTGACCAGAATGCTCTTACCCCCAGATACCCAAATGCCCCACTGCCCCTCTTTCCAGGTCTTTGCCTATCATCTCGGTGATGCCTTCCCTGACTATTTAAAACTACAACCCTTCCACCCGAAACCCCATCCTTCTACCCTGTGTGACTTTTTTCCCCGCAGCACTTATCAGCTTGTAACTGACTCTGCAAGTTATGTGATTACATTTATACATTATTGTTTGTCTCCTCTGGGCCCCATTACCATCTCCACAAAAGCAAGGCTCTTGGTCTGTTAATGATGGACCCCCTCTGGGGGCCTAGAACCGTGTCTGGCACACTAAAAGTGCCATATGAGTGATGACTTATAGCTCTACTTTCCCTGGGGGCAGGCAGAGGGACTACACCTGTTTCTTTTTTTTTCTTTTTTTGGCCGTGCCAACCGGCTTGCGAGATCTCAGTTTCCTTACCGGGGACTGAACCCAAGCCCTACAATGAAAGCCCGGAGTCCTAACCACTAGGCCACCAGGGAATCCCCTACACCTGTTTCTTATGATATCCAGTGCCTGGCACAGAGAAAGGAGTAAAAGGCAGCATCGACCCCGCGGGCACCTGCTCAGTCCCTTCTCCGCGCCCTCACAGGTGGCGCTGCGTCCCGCGATGGCCGCGGGAGCCCTCCTGCCGTGCCCAATGTCCTGGCTGGAGTTCCTCAAGGCCTCGCACTTTGCGCTGGGGCCCGACCCGCGGCTGCACGTGGACGCCAAGCAGTCCGCGTCGCACCGGGACTTTCCCGCCTACCGGAACGTTACCCGTGGGCTGCTGTGCCAGCCGCCGCCCCGCGCGTCCCTCTTCCAACAGGACGCGCGCTGGAACGGCCAGGAGCTCCTGTCGCAGACGCACTGCGCGTATGCGCCCGCGTCACCGCTGCTGTCAAGGGAGCGGGAGCGGGAACTGGCACGGGAGCGCACGCTCGCCATGCAGGCCAGCAACCTGCACGAGCACTCGGACTCCCGCGCCCGCACCGGCCTCTCCCCCGCGCGCGCCCACTGCGGCAGGCCGGCGCTTCCGGAGCGCGCCAGCGAGCAGATCCGCGGCGCGCGCCTCATCTTCGACCGCGACTCGGTGCCGTCCCGCGACCGAGCCAAGCTGCCCATCCCGCCCAGCGCGCACCAGGAGTTCTTCTCGCTCCACATTTGCCCGAAGCTCCGCGAGCCCTCCTGCCACTTCGGTGAGCGCGCGCCCGGGCACCCTAGGCAATTTACCCAACACAATGGTTCTCATGGCGAGCGGGGATTCTGTGCCCAGCCCAGCGGACATTTGGCAATGCCTGGGGATCATATTTTGGTCTTCACGACTGGGCGTGGGGGTGGGGGGAGAAGGCGGTACCATCAGGGAGCGGCTGGAGGCCAGGGATGCTGCTAAACATCCTACCACGCACAGGAGAGCTTTCCACAGTAAAGAATTATCCAGCCCCAAATGTCAATAGTGCAGAGGCTGAGACACACTGGAAGCTCCTTGATCCTCAGTTTCTGCATCCACACAATAGGCATGTCTCCCGAATCTCTCCAGGGTGCTGTGCGGTGGCCCGAAGTCATGAATGCTGGTTTTGGGTCAGACAAATCTGCTAAGTGTCCCCCACCATCACCCCAGCCCTGCGACCTTAGTAGTTGTGTGACTCTGAGCAAGTCGATCTCTCCCAGACTCAGTTCACTCACCTGCAAAGTGGGTGCAACAACAGGGCCCCACTTTATAGTTACTGGTGAAGCCGAAAGAGCCCCGAGTGCAGAATATGCCTGTCAAATACTGAGCACTCAACAAAGGGTCGCTGTCATTCATATGATTTTCCAGTTCTGTGATACAGAGGACCTTCTGGTAGACATCACTAGTCAGAGACCCTCCAAGCTGGGTTCACGGATTGTCAGTTGGCTTTGACTCCACCTGGTTCTGAATTTCTATTATTTCTGGCAGGTTATTTGACCTCTCCGAGCTTCAAGGAGGCTTCAGGTGGGGGGGGGATAATATCGGCCCCCCAAGTGAGGTGCAAAGCACTTAACCTAGGTACTGGGCTCAAAACTTGGTAGAGCTATTCTTGTTGTCATTATTATTATTATTATTATTATTTTTGGCCACACCGCGCAGCTTGCGGGATCTCAGTTCCCCGACCAGGGATTGAACCCGGGTCACAGCAGTGAAAGCCCAGAATCCTAACCACTAGGCCACCAAGGAACGCCCTTGTTCTCATTATTTTTTATTATTTTTGGAGTGGGAGCACAGGAGACAGGATGACAGCACCTCCTACCAGAGACAGTTCCAGGCCCTTCCAGGCCCACTTGCCTTGACGTGTAAGAGGGTAAATTGAGGCTGGGCTGGTGCTGCTGGCAGCGGGGGGAGCAGAGGTGGGCGCTGGGTGGTCTTGCCCTTCCCACCCCTGTCCTCCCACAGGCCTCCTCCAGCATAGAACTGGGAGACTTCAAGATTGGCTATGGGCCCATGTGTGCAGAGCAGAAACAAGCCTACAGGCCCCAGGTTCTGCCCCCAGACAGGTACAAAGGGACCATGGCCTACTACTAAGATGGGGCAAACGGCTCTCAACGACATGTGGGATGTGTCACCTAAGGCTCTAGGGCCAACGCTGTGCCTTTGAATTCTCCATCACCCACAGGCAAGACCCACTATTATGCCGCACTTCCCACGATTAGCACCCCACAGCTCGGCCATTAGAAAGCCTGTCCCTCTCTCCTTTTTCCTGGGAGTTGCATGGGCCCAGATCAGATGGGTCCTCCTTCTCCCACCTCCTTATCTGCAGGTATGACAAGGCCCAGGCCTCAGCCCACATCCACGGTGTGAATATTCGACCTGGAGATGGCCTCTTCCATGACAGGACCACCAAGGGTGAACACTTCTATACCCGGGAGCCAGGTGAGAGCCTGCTGCCTGCCCTGCCCCTCGCTCCCACAGCAGCCTCTCAGAGCTGCTCAGGACCTACTCTGCCACTGGCAGAGCCTTTTTTTCTTCACCACGACCAGACTCCGGAGTCGCACATCCTGGAGGGAAATGGGTGCCCTGGTCCGGGCAGCCTCACCACCTCCACGCACTTCTTCCACGGCCAGGTCAGCAGGAAGGGGAAGAAGGCAGCAGGGCTCGTCAGGGAAAAGGGCTTCCCAAGCAGAGTGAATAATAGCAAGTGCAAAGGCCCTGAGGTGGGAGGGAGCTTGACATGCGTGCGGGCATCTCCTGGATCTGTTTGTGTGAAGTAGGGTGAGTCGCTTAACCACTCCAAACCTCAGTGGCTCTGCCTGTAAATTGAGATAACAGTACCAACTCCCAGCGCCATCACGTGGGACCCAGAGAGAGTGTGAGCCGTCCAAGGTCTCACAGCGCCCACTTCTGCCCTCCGTCCTGGCCATGGGACATCCCTGACACCGGGAGCTTCCCAGATGCCATGTGGTCCTACAGCCGCTGCCCGCGACCAAGCCACCCAGCCGCCACATGCCTCATGAGAAATTGCAGAGTCACATAACCCTAGGGGAGCCGTCGCTGCTCGGACAGTTCTTCCAGACCTCCATGGGCACAGACTATTTACCCCCTGGGATGCAGAAGCCGCCGAAAGCGCTCAACCTCCACTTGCTGCAGAGCAACCTGCCCCAGGGCACAGGCGGTGAGCGCGGGACCCACCTCGGAAGCCCCACAGCCCTTGGCACAGCTGTGGTCCCGCCCCCGGCCAATCCCACCCCGCCCCCTGCCCGAGTCTGGCTCCGCCTCCTGAAGGGCTAGATCCCACCCCATGAGCCAAGATTACCAACTCTGACCCTGAACAACCCCACTCCTTCGTGATCGTGACTCCCAACTCCCCCCCACACACCCCGTCATGGCCCCACCGCTGCATGACTCCGCCCCTCTGGTCTGGCCCCGCCCCTCTCCATATCCGCCCTCTCCTGACTCTTACCCCTCCTCTTCTGGGACACTCTGGCTCCGCCCCATGACCAGCTAGCCTATTCTTCCGGCCCACCCCTCCCCCCCAGCCCCCGACCCTCGCTAGTCTACCCTTGCCCCGCCCCTGGCGTCCTCAGCCCTATCCTGGCTGCCCCATCCTCCCTGCCTCATAATCCATCCTCCTCCCCTGACAACTTCAGCACTAGCCCAGGCGTCACCCTTGAACCCTTACCCCATCCTTAGTCTCCCATGTCCCTTCCCCCTGGGCCCTGCCTTTCCTCCCTCAGCCCCTCAGCTCAGCCACCCCTCCCAAACCTCCAGAAACAGATTTTTTAACCATGAACCAGAAGATGCTGAAGCCACACAGAACAGCTCCAGCCTCCATGACTGAGGAGATGCTACAGTGGGTGAGAGAGGGGGAAGGGGTATCTCTCTAACCAGGTAACCCCCGAAATCAGTGTAGAGTTATCTCAGGAAAACTATAGCATCAACTCAGACTCAGAGTTACTGTCAAGTCCGCTCAGGGTCACTCTAGGGTCACCCCAGGCTCAGGGTCATCTTAATGTCATCCCAGTCCCAGGTCATCTCTAGCTCAGCCCCAGGGTCATGTCAGGGTCAGCTTCGTATCACCAGCCACAGTTATACTCCAAGCCAGGGGTTAGCTCAGAGTCACCTACAGTTAACCCAGCCCTGGGGTCATTCCAGGGGCCCACCTGCTTTCTCTCCAGCTTCTCATCCAGCTCCTGGGTCAGCCCAACCTGGGGTTCCCTTTTGCCCACCTCCCCAGGACCCAATCATCAGCCAAACTGCGCTGAGCCCTTCCCCACTCTTTGATGTTCCCAAGGTGGTGCAGGAACTACAGGGTGGCCAGGGTGGGCCAGCCATCCTCCAGGCTGCCCTGCCAGGCTCCCCACCCTGACTCCACAGTGCAAGTATAGCCACTTGGAGCCCCCGCTGGGTAGACAGCGCTTCTTCTCAACCCTAAACAAGGATGAGTTTGCTTTCAAGTACCAGGGCCCAGGAGTGCTGAGATGGGACGACCTCCAGGAGAGTCATGTGCCCCTGAGCTCCCCTCGCCAGTGGGGCTGTGGGGCTGGGAAGGTGGACCCTCGGGCCCCCCAGACCCCTACCTACCCATGCCGCAGCCAGCAATAAACACCACTTTGGCAACATCCCACCACTTTCCATCAGTCAGCCGTGAAAGAGGATAGGGTGCCTGTGGGGTTGGTGAGAGAACGTACGGGAGAGAATGACTCCATGGAGAAGCCCTGAATTTCCGCAGACCCTGGGTGTCATCCCACTCTGGGCAGGGAGGCCATCTCAGTTTGTGCAAAAGCTTGGTGGTCTGACGCTTGTAAGGTGTTCAGGTGATACCACAAGTTCTTTCTTTCTTTCTTTTATTCTTTTTTTTTGGCTGTGCCACAGGGCTTGTGGGATCTTACTTCCTCAACCAGGGATTGAACCCAGGTCCATGTCAGTGAAAGCGCTGAGTCTTAACCACTGGACCGCGAGGGAATTCTCGCTGCCAAAAGTTCTGAATGGTGTGGGAGGATGGAGTTACAGTGTTGAACGGAGGCAGCGTGGTGAGAGGTTGAGAATGTAGGCTCCTGGGGCTGAATGGACAGAGTGCAAATCCTGACTCCTCCATGTCCTGGAAAGTAGTCTTGGGCAAGTCATTTGACCCCTCTGAGCCTCTATTTGCTCATCTGTAAAATGGCGATAAACAATAGCTCTCTCTCATTAGATTGTTGTAAATGAGAAATGTACACACTGGTGAGTGTGCGTGGCTGGGGGTCAAGAAGGGAGAGCTTCCTTTCCAAGGATGAAGGTAAGGAGGGTCTAGGATGGAGCTCAATCATTGAGAGACTGGGTGAGGCTCAGAGGGGAGCATGAAAGGGTGGACATGCTGAGAATGGCCCAGCAATGTCCCCCCCTATTGTGAGCAGATGCTGGAAGCTGAATGGTTGGTGCACTAGCTGGCTGGGCAGCTGGCCCCCAGATCACAGCTGGGTCCAGGGGCATATCAACAAAAGTCATCAGCATGTGTTCAGGCCCAAGGGGGTAGGTGTTCAGCCAGAGACAGAATGAAAAGGGTGGAAAGGAGGAGTATGGGGTGGAGCCTTGAAGCTGGTAAGTATGTCAAGGACATCAAGTATGTCAAGGACTAGTACCTTGGACAGCACCCCACCTTGAAAGTCTTGGGGTCTGATGAATCACCACCAAGAAGCCAGATCTGTCTGGGACGATAAGATGGGCCTTGGTGGCCGTGCCTGGGACCTGCCTCTGCAGGCTGTTGAGAATCTGGTTTCAGGGAATGAACACGGTTCCCTGACCCTGTAGACAGACCTTTAAAGACCAAGGCCCCCAATCCAATGGGCCACTAAGAGCCAACCTCAAGCCTGGCCCGGAGACCTTTCCCCATGGGCAGCAATCCTGTGAGACCAGCTTGTCACTTCCACAGGAAGGAGAGGAGTCCAGTTTGGGGTCCCACGGGGACAAGATGGACCTTTCGGCTGCAGTCATGGTATCCATGTCGACCATGAGAGGGTCTGCTAGAGGCAGAACACCTCTTCTGCTTGCTTCCACTAATGATGTAGATGACACTCGTCTGAATTACCTCATGATAAAACAAGCTTTCTCAATCTCGGCACTATTGACATTCTGGATAGGATCATTCTTTGCGGTTGGAGGCTGTCTTGTGCATTGTAGGATGCTTGGCATCATCCCTGAACTCTACCCGCTACATGCCAGTAGCACATTCCTTCTCCCCCGCCCAGTTGTGACAACCAAAATTGTCTCCAGACATTGCCAAATGTCGCTTGGGGGAAAAAGTCGCCCCTGGTTGAGAACCACTGCAATAAACCCATCCTACAATGATTCCTAGGATAAAATTAGGCTCTCCTGGTAAAGCCGGTCTGCTTGTTGACCAGACTACATGTACAAAAAGCTTTCCCTTTTTGCCTTGCCTGCCAGGAAGCTCAGAAAGCTTGCTTTGATTCCATGTAGCTCCAGTTGCAGGATTATGTGTACTCCTGCCTCGTTCTAGGAATGGTTTAAACAACCGAGACATCAGATGAGAAATAATGGGTAGGAGTTACAAGGAAGCAGATTTCAGCACAACTTGAAGCATTTTCTAACAATGGAACGGACCAGCCCCAGGATGGGTTGCCAGGAAAAAACAGAAACTTTACTCAAGATGTCTTCAGTACAGAAAGACACTACATTATGATGATTCTGGATGTATTCTATGGATTTATGTCTATCCCTCCTATATATCCCATTTACCCCCCAGAAAAGGCATTTCATATGAACTACAAAAACTAAAAAGACTTATGAAATAAGATGAGTAAAATAGGATTGAACATGGGAAAACAGATTAAATTTTAAAGGGAAACATTTTGTCAATGGTAATCATTGCTAAGCAGCAGACTTGTCTTTTTCTGTCCCTAGGCAAATGATTTCATGCTCTGACCCTCACTTTCCTCATCTGTAAAATGGGGATGGCAACAGTTCCTCCTTCATGGGGTGGTTACAAGGAGTAAATAAAATGTGCGTGTACCATTCTTTTATATATATATGAATTTATTTATTTATTTTATTTTGGCTGCGTTGGGTCTTCGTTGCTGCGTGCAGGCTTTCTCTAGTTGCAACGAGCGGGGGCTACTCTTCATTGCAGTGTGCAGGCTTCTCATTGCAGTGGCTTCTCTTGTGGAGCACGGGCTCTAGGCGCGTGGGCTTCAGTAGTTGTGACTCGCGGGCTCTAGAGCACAGGCTCAGTAGTTGTGGCGCAAGGGCTTAGTTGTTCCACGGCATGTGGGATCTTCCTGGACCAGGGCTCAAACCCGTGTCCCCTGCATTGGCAGGCGGATTCTTAACCACTGCACCAACAGGGAAGCCCGCATATACCATTCTTAAAACAGGGTCTCGCACTTGGATGCAGCTCAATAAACAGTGCCTAAATTTTGTTAATGTCTTGGGTACTTTTGTTGCAAGTGTCAGAAACCCAGCTGTATCTGCTCAAGCAGAAAGGGATTTTATTGACTTAGAAACAAGAAAGTCTGTAATTAGGTCTAACATCAAGCCTGCTAATTCCTCATCAGGCATGCTCTCTCCCTTGCCGCCTCTCAGTCCAAGCAGTGGCAAAAAACAAAAGCAAAAACAATACAAAACAAAACGCAAATCCTAATGATTAAAGCCCCAAAGGAAGGGGTGGAGGTCTTCCCCTCAACTCCTCACGTTAGAATTTAACAACCCTCTGACTGGCCCATTTGAGTCACATGTCCAGCTGTGAACCAATCACTGTGCCCAGAGGGATGGAATGCTGTGATTGGATGCCTGGGTGATTTGTTTCTCCAAACTTCACCAGGATCTTGGAGTCTGGAGCCCAGTCTTGCTGGATCCTGTCTCCTAGCAACAGACCTGTGCCTGCCCAGCCCCACAGCATGTATCTTGCCCCAGGTTACAATCTAGAGGGCAGAAAGACTCAGCCAATATGCTCTTCCCAATGAGGGTAATTGTGCCTAATAGACAGGCAGTGTTCAGTGTTCAATGCGTGAAAGGCTGAGGCATTAAGAGCCCACCGGATCTCTGATAATCCCAATCTTATCTCCCCATCTCAGTACTAACTTCCTCTTTTAGCTTGGGGCAGAGAATTCAGCCGTAGCAATCTCACAAAATTGAGCAGGTGCTAGACTCTGCTTTAAAAAGGTGCTCATAGAGGCTTCCCTGGTGGCGCAGTGGTTAAGAATCCGCCTGCCAATGCAGGGGACACGGGTTCGAGCCCTGGTCCGGGAAGATCCCACATGCCGCGGAGCAACTAAGCCCGTGCGCCACAACTACTGAGCCTGCGCTCTAAAGTCCGTGAGCCACAACTACTGAAGCCTGCACACCTAGAGCTCGTGCTCCGCAACAAGAGAAGCCACCGCAAGAGAAGCCCATGCACCGTGACAGAGTACTGCCCATGTGCAGCAGTAAAGACCCAGTGTAGCCAAATAAATAAATATAAATAAATGTATAAAAAAAGGAAGACAGAGAGGTAGCTTGTGTCTATCTCATAAGACCTTGCCGAAGACTTCATGAAAGCTCCCACATATCCCAACATCCTGATATTTTCCTCCAAAGCCGCTCGAGCCACAGTCTCAGGTGACACACAGAGTGCGAAGATAAAACGGGCAATGATTTAATCGGCTATTTTTCTTCAACATAACAGATTTCTGGTGTCCTGAGCAAGGCCCTTCTACAGGGCTGCCACATATATCTGGGGAGGTTGTGCACTGCACAAATCTTGAAGGCCTATTCACTTTATAATGAATAGATATGTCAAGGTGGCCCTGGCCCTCTCCTTCACCTTTGTTCAGCCAATTTCACATTTTAAGTTATTTCCTTCAATACCCTTCCTTCCCTTTTCTGGAAATCATGTCTAAATTAGTCAAGACTGTCATGACTGCAAGAGACAGAAACCCACTAAACTAGCTCAAATACCCAGGAAATTTGTTGGCTGGAAAGACTGTGGGCTTCCGGCTTCAGGTACGGCTATGTCCAAGAGCTCAGCCAATATAGCTAGAGCTGTCTCTCTGTCTCTCACCTCTACATCCTGGTATAGATTGGCTTCAGTCTGCAGACTGTTCCTCCAGACAACTGAGGAAGGTGGGTGCAGGCAGAAGGAAGCCAATAAACAGCTCATGATCCCAAAGGAAGAAAGAGATTCTCCAACCTCATGACTTCGTCCCAGACCTCATTGTGGCCGGGGGGTGGGGTTCTTGGGTTGGTAAGTTTAGATCGCACGGTACTGGGGGGGGCACGGGTTAGACACGGGTCCATCTGGAGTAGTGGAGGGGGCTCCACAAAGGGAAAGTGAGGTGCTGAGAGACATACTGGGCAGACTGAAATGACAGCTGTCATTACAAGTATTATTTGTAATGGGATCATCCAGTAGGATGAAGAACAAGCGACATAATCCAATTGCAGTTTCAAGTCTCTCAGATCTGCTGCTGGCTTCTCCACAGAGAGCTGGAAAGCAGGTCTCAGGCCACAAGTTCAGCCCAGATCTAGAAGGTTCTGGAAGGAAGAGTGAAGTCTCCTGGAGGCCTGATTTGCACGCAAGGGTAGGTGTTGTCCAAATTCGTCAAAGACCATCAGAAGCACGCCTGTAGTCAAAAAAAATTTTTTTAACTTGCGCAGCAAGGAAGATCCCGTAGCAGGGAACCATGGGGCATCTCCAGAAGAGTTGGGGGACAGGAGGGCATCTTATAGGATTCAGGCTTGTGCTGGGTAATTTTAAGAAGAGGAGAGTAGAAGCAGCTCTAGCCTGGTGCTGTCAGCAAGCAGGGAGCAGATCAGCGACTGGGACTGGGTATTTTGGTGATTCTTATCTCAGAAGTGGGAGGATGGACATGCGGCCGTCATTGG